GCAAGGGAACCTTTACCTTTATATAAAATTCAAAATGTTCCCTTACCTTATCTTTTACTTGAGGATAAATTTGAAAAACGGTTTCCATCAGAGCCTCCATGAAACTATTTTTAAGATCGTCATAGTCCTCCCCCCTCTTGGAGACTCTCTCTTCCTTCCATTCCTCAAACCATTCATATCTTGCGGCTGTCAGGATGATCAGAGTGGACTTGCCTGTAAAGACAGAACAGGGAGGGGGCTCACTTGCACGCGGCGTTCCCTCTAAGCTGAGTTAGTGTGATCCAGCTCATAGTTTTTTAGCCTCCGGCTCACACATTTTTGTCTTAGCTCAGGGAGGATGGCTCCAGAGCAAACTAATTTATGCAGTAGCCCAATCACTCACTCAGTGATTTAATGCCAGTAGCTCACACAGTAGAATTTTTGCTCGCACAACTCTGCAGCTTAGAGGGAGCATTGCTTGCATGCGGCTGCTACAAGAGGTTTTTTTTTTTACAGAAGACTGGGAAGAGGGTGGTGAACCCTCCTGGCTGCACTGGGTGCTGGTTCCCCATGTTCTGTTGGGTCAAAGTCCCTGTGCTGGCCCTTTGCCGTACTCCCCAAGCCCTGCCTGTGATGCCAACTCCATGAAATTGCTGAGCGGTCAGGTTAGAACGGATAAAAGGAAGTACTTCTTCACCCAAAGAGTGATTAACACATGGAATTCACTGCCACAGGAAGTGGTGGTGGCTACAAGCATGGACAGCTTCAAAAGGGAATTAGATAAGCATATGGAGCAGAGGTCCATCAGTGGCTATTAGCCACAAGGTATAGATAGGGACTCTGGGGCAAGTGATGCTCTGTCATCTTGGTGCTTGGGGGGGGTCAACAGTGGGAGGGCTTCTAATGTCCTGGCCCCACTGCTGGACCTCCTGATGGCACTGGTATTTCTGGCCACTGTGTGATACAGAGTGTTGGACTGGATGGGCCTTTGGCCTGATCCAACATTGGCATCTCTTATATTCTTATGTCCTTAACTGCCCCCCCCCCATACCTGGGTACTTCTTCTCCCACAGGAGGTCCTTCGCCGACGGAGAGCTAATATATGCAAAAGGAATAATTTTTGCAGCAGTTTCTCTTGATGAATTCATGTATGATATGAACCTGTCAATAAAATGAAAAGACTTCCCCATGAGTTTGGGAAAAGAACAAAAAAGAGAGAGAAGCATTTCTTCCTATGCTATTATTTTTAAACTTGGGCTTGAGACTAGCAATAGTTAGAGAGTAATTAAAGTGGAAAGATAAGCTTCTGGCACATACACTGAGAAGGGGTTGCTGTTTTGGGCTGCAACCCCTTAACTGATGATCTTATGTAAGTTTCAGGTGGGTAGCCTTGTTGGTCTGCAGCAGAAGAGGAAGATTCAAGTCCAGGAGTGCCTTAAAGACCAACAAAGTTTCCAGAATAAAGTCTGAGCCCAGTAGCACCTTTAAGACCAAAGACGTTTTATTCAAGGTATGAGCTTTTGTGTGCAGGCACACTTCGATACAATGAAATGGAAATTACGAGTCCGTAAATATAGGTCGGTGAGAGCAATAAATTAGCATACAGCATAATGAAGATGTTTAACAGATTCAAGGACCGAACAGGAATAACAAGCTTAGTCTATATGGTTACCATTTTTTGGGGGGGAGGGGTTAATTCCAGGGGAAAACAGTGAAGGAAAGAAATATGTCAAAATTGGGGATTGATGGACAGATGTATCTAATTGTGGGATGCTGAAATTCCCCTGGAATTAAACCCAAACAAATGATAACCATATGAACTAAGCTTGTTATTCCCTTTGTTTTCCCCTACGGCGCTGCCCCTACCTCTCAGTCACTTTCCCACCCATCCATTAATGACGCCTCAGCTATCCTCTTATAACTTCCTTCTAGCTTCTAGTCAGAAGAGAGAAGTGGTGGGAAGAAGCAGTGCCCAAGCTGGTGGAGGGAGGGGGAGAAGCAGTTAGAAGCTGGAGAGAATGGTTTTAAAGGACAGCGGAGCCCACAGCTACAGATATTGGGTGGGAACGATCCTTCTCTCCTGCTTGCAAGGCTTTGCAGTTGCAGGCTCAGATGTCCTTTTAAAACTTCTCCTATTTAGCCATTCATACTACAGGAAAAACAGTGTTGGAGATGGGCAAGTGGCAGCAAGGAATCCTCCCCAATCCCAGCTCCACTTCTGCTGTTGCTTCCGCCCCTCTTCCCCCACCCAGTATCTCTCTCTGCATCTCTCTTTGGCTATCAGCCAGTCAGTCTTTCGCAAGCTGGTGGAGGGGGAGTAGCAGTTAGAAGACTCCCCCCCAAAAAAAGTTTTAAGAGGACAGTGGCATTCCCAGCAAAAGAGGCAGGGGTGAGAATCTCACTCAGATGTCCTTTTAAAATGTCCCCCTTCTATTTAGCCATTCATACTGCAGGATGAATCCTCCCCACTCCCAGCTGCAGTTCTGCTTTTGCTTCCTCCCCTCTTCCCCCACTTATTATCTCTCTCTATTTCTGGCTATTAGCCACTCTCCCACTGTCGATGTGGTGGGGCCTGGAGTAGATCTCTGTGGCAGCCATTTCAAAAGGTGATACAAAATTTGGAAACCAAATAAACAGAATATTTTTTTAAAAAAAAAGGTATGGGGGGGAGGAATTCAACCCTCCCCATGGTTGTGGTTTTTTTTTTTTAACTTTTTGGATTTTTCTGCAGACCCACAGAGTCCCCTGAGTCTGTAGAAAAACCTGTTGGGGGAGAACATGCCCTCTGTTTGCAGAAATAACTATCTACAGGTAGAGGGGACTGTTGAGAATTATATAGATAAATAAAATAAAGAGCAACTACTAACAAGCCCTGCTTCACAATGGCCCAGTCCACTTTCTGAAAAGCTTAGCAGGTACCCAGGCAAGTACTGATGTGTGCTCTAAACTCTAAAGTGTTTAGAAGAAAAATCGAGTCTTTAGTCTGTCTGGGGATCTTGGGAGAAGAAGAAAATGGCTCATAAAGCAGAAATTGCATCAACACACATTAAGGCATTTGTGGCTATTTTAGCTTTGCTGTTTGATGCCTCGAATGGTTTCAAAGACAAAATTGATGTTCCGTGGGAGTGCTTTTGTGTATTCAGTGTCATCAGTACACCGGTGTGACCAGTATTTTCCAAGCATAAACCGCCTCAGGAGTTCAACAATAAACTGTGCCAGGAGCAGGAGAAAGATATTCAGGCATTCAATTGAATGCAGTTGTGTAGTACACACAGTTTTCCAAGTAACTTCTGAAGTCTTGGGTGAAGGCAAAACAAGGCATTCTGCATGTTCAGCCCTGATTTATGGAACAAACATGCTTATATCAATAAGGTAGTGGGAAAGAGGCATTGTATTCAGTGCCACTACAAAGCTCTGCCCACAAAGTTAGTGGAGCTTTAAGGCTGTTTTTTATTGATACAAACATGGAGCTGCGAGGAACAAAGTGAACATTAGTGAGATACAGTAATACAATGCAACGGTGAGTTTAGTCCTTGCATTTGAATCTGAGCAAACCTATCTGTAAAAAAAGTTAAAGGTTCCCTTGCTCGAAAGCCAGTCTAATCCGACTCTAGGGTTGCGGTGCTCATCTCTGTTTCAAAGCCGAAGAGCCAGTGCTGTCCGAAGATGTTTCTGTGGTCATGTGGCTGGCATGACTAAACACCAAGGCGCACGGAATGCTGTTACCTTCCCACTGAAGTGGTACCCATTTATCTACTTGCAATTTCTTGCTTTCGAACTGCTAGGTTGGCAGGAGCTGGAACTAGAGACAGGAGCTCACTCCGTCATGTGGCACACTCGGGTCTCGAACTGCTGAACTACCGATCTTCCACAGCCTGCAGTTCAGCGTCTTAACCACTTGAGCCACCGCACTTAAACAGAACGAGACAGAAGACTGGACTGTACCACTTTGGCTGCAGATACTATTTCTGAATGCTCCCCCAAACCCAAGACTCCTGTGCAAGTAAACAACTAGCACATACAGTAGAAAAGTAGTAACACAGCCCACTCTTTGTAGTGATAGTTCCTGCAGGGAAATTTTAGAGGTGCATTAAAAAAATTGATTTCTGGTCCCGTCCCATCCCCAGCCCAAACTGGTACGGTCCAACACCTCACAATTGTGCCGCTCTTTTCCTATTATGCATTGAACAGACCTGAAGCATTTAAGTTAACAAGAAGAGTAGCCAAGCCCTGCCCTCCCGTCCCTCAAGAACGGCCCTGTCAGGCTTTGTTCCCTCTCTCCTGAGTTCTTTACCCTCCTGTTCTTCGACCCTGGCCACTGGCAGTCACTGGCCTTCTCAGTCACAAACTGCAGCTGCCTGGCGATCTGGCACAATTCTTTCCCAAACCTGGCAGAGAAGCTGAAGCGGCCAGGCTGGGCTCCGAGCCCTGTAGAGCTGGCATCACTGAAAAATGGACCAGCAGGCCCAAATTTCACCAGTCGCCATTTCTCCAACAGTGGCCTGAGAGATTTTGTTGCCTACTCCCCTGTATCAGGATGTCATTTCAAATTTCCTGAAGCAGTGACTTACATGGAGGAGCGCTTAATTTAAAAAGCTCTAAATTAATACATTTCTGTACATTCACACAATAAAATAAAAAAATTGATTCCACAATGTTAACAAGTACAGTTCAATAATCTAAAGTTCTTCCCTATTGCAGGAGTCTGCCTGGTCTTCTTCACCTCAAGCGTCACCCAATGCAAATAAAGTGCAACAAACAATAAATCTTCTTTGTGTCTTTCTTGTATTAGTATTGAATTGTAGACAAATAGCACAAATGGTCACAGATCTGCAGACAGGCTTGCTCAAACGCCTGTTTCAAAAGGCTTCCTTAGAGCAGAATATATGTAGACTCGATTAAACCTTTCCTGCTCAGCATTCATCTCCATCTGTGGTCTCCCTGCATAATGCTCTCACTAAGGGCGATTTCTCACTAGAGCTGCCTCGCAGCACAGCGCCGTTTGCCCCAACACAAACATGTCAATTTCACACCCGAGGCTGCGGGGCTGCATTTGACTTGGGGCTCCGCCCGATTTCCTCCGCAGTTTCGTGATCCTCAAAAACCAGGATCACGAAACTGCGGAGGAAATTGGGCGAAGC